CCATAGGGCTCGGTAATTCTATGATTCAATCTGGCAACCCATATGACAATACAATAAGGGTGCTTTCTTCTTAAAATCAGTTATGTGGAATCATAATTAATTGCTATAACATTTACTTTAATTTTCCCTTTTTTTACTGTTTGCTACAAGTTTTGGGGGCTATTTATTTATTTATTTATTTCATTTCATTTTTCTTTAACTTTGGTTAACTGACAACTATTTGTGTCTTGTTTGGCTCCGGTGAATGTTAAAAGAGGGCTCTCCCTATCTTGATGAGAACATTCAAGCCAAGAATTACTGGTCTGAGACTTAATGTACATACGTTGTTGTTGTTAGGATCATGCATCATCTCTTTCATTAAGTCTACTGAATTTTTTTGGAATGATCTCGTGGATCATATAAGAAGAGGGAATATGTGTAGTTTTTATATACCAGGATTAGCCCCATCCATGCAAGACATAGAAGCAATGCTATAGAAGCCTTGTAGAAAAATAATCGAACTGCATACCTTAATGAGAATCACCCTTTCCATTTTCACAGTTAACTGCATTGCAAAACTACTTGGACATAGATTCCATCAGTTCATCTCTCTACAATCCTCTCCTACAAGCACAAATTCAAATTAGGTCACGTCACCACTCTGAAAAAATAATTCTCTTTTAAAGTTCGTAGCAGCAGTGAATGCTAAGGCCATTAATATGGCAGTTGCCCACATCATTCAGAATTCAGTCCAAATTAAGCAAACATTTTTTTTTCCAAGAGTAGTAGTGTTTAAGTGGTAAATATCAATTTGCCAAGTAATTAAAAAAAAATTTAAAAACTTAAATTTAAGAGAAGACATGGTGTATAATAGGAAAGAATGGAAAAAGGCAATTAATGGGAAAAAAGCAAGGATGATGATAATGATCAAGTTGCCAGGTGTAAGGGTGCAGGTTTGATTTTGAGAACAATTACTTTGAGCAAAATAATGTCAAAGGTTGGTCTATATTCAGAACACCCCTCCCAGAATCCCATGTAGGCTGGACCAACAATGAAAATTGCCCTTTAGGCATGTATAAAGATGTGTTTGTGTTTGTTTGTGAATCTTATCACTTTGTTTTCTCTTGACCGTGCGAAAATAAAACTAGCCCACATCAATGTTGTTTTGTGAACATGAATTATCTTCTTTATGCTATATTTGCCTTGTAAAACTTTTGTCAAGACCATATGAACATAAGAATACAAATCAGCTATATTTGCCTTGTTTAAGGCCACTCTGTTTTTATAATTCTTTGAGTCCTCTTATAACACTATGAATAGTTCATAAAGTATGTGTAACAGTTATGTAGTATTCTTACACTCGAAGGTCGCCCAATTGGAAGGAGGTACAATAAAATGATTCTGTTTTGTGTCTTGGTCACTGAACAAGCTGAAGCGATCCGTAGTACCATCAACCTTCTGAATGGATGTACTATGTTCAGGCATGGACCCATTTGGTGGAGGTATAATAATCTTGCTCATGTCTAAAGAGCCCTGTTAAAAATTTGATAGCGAGCATTCACAAAATTTCCAATTTATAATATATGATGATTTAATACTAAAAATGACAGTAAAAATGAACTTAGAAGAAGCAGAAGAAACAAGAAACTGAGACCAGCAGGGAAGGAAAAAAAAAACCATCAACTTCAGTCAAAGAATCTCAAAACCCAAAAACCTGCCACTTCATCCATGGCCAACATGCCCAGAAGAAGGAAGATTGGTAAGTCACAAAACACTCAACAATATGCATAATCACGAGTGTCACTTCCAACTCCCTTACCACATTTACTTCCCTTAATATTTTCAAATTATTGTCATATTAGGAAACTTTGGGAGAGAGTGATTAAAGAGTAACTAAGACTAGATCAGTGATTCAGTGGTCTCAGTTTAAATATTGTTTGATATGTATTTTTCTCTTGAATGACTTCCACCATATCCAACAATGGTCCCTCAAGATGAAAGGGTTTGACTCTTTCCATTTCTTTATGTGCATTTATTCTTCACTTTTTTCTTCTTGGTATTCCCTGCTATATTTTTAGTTTCTTCGCGACGACCATTTTTTTTCCTAGTTGATAACCCCCCCCCCCCCCCCCCCCCAACACACACACACACACACACACACACACACACACAATTGTTTGCACCCAAGAGGAGTCGAACCTTAGACCTGATGCTTCATGAGGCACCAGGGCCAAGTGACTTACCCACTTGAGCCAACCCCTTGGGGTTCTGACCATTTTTATTGTTAGGTTGTAATATATATAATATAGTACCAGATAAGCCAATTCTCTTGTCCTCTTAACTGTGAATCCGGATTTAAGGTAGAACGAGTATGAGGAGTCGCCCTAGACCTGATGCTTCATGAGGCACCAGGGTCAAGTGATTTACACACTTGAGCCAACCCCCTTGGGGTTCTGACCATTTTAACTGTTAGGTTGTAATATATATAATATAGTACCAGATAAGCCAATTCTCTTGTCCTCTTAACTGTGAATCCGGCTTTAAGGTAGAACTAGTACGTCTTTCCATGTAAAAATAGTGAATATCGAGGGTCAAAAAGACGCCAACTTGATTATTCATAAAAATGGAGATTGGCGATTATGTTGCTCATAAAACTCAACCAGGATATGTTAAATGGAGTGCGAATTATAAAACTAAGACATAATGGTTAAATGAAGAAGTGATTATAGCTTACTAACAAATGTGATGGCATACGTTAATCTAAAGCAAATGGATGCATAATATACATATTCTTGGCTTTTGAAAGTTTCTTAATCTAAAGCATGGGGATAGGAAATTATAAGAGAAAATAAATATTTTTTGCCTTCAAACCCTTAGTAACCCCGCACATGCCAAAGGCTATAATGACTTATGAGGTATTTGGTAAACAACACAACGTATACAAAAACAGAGCAAGAAGCACACATATACCTGTATGAACAAACATCCAGAAAGAAATTTCCCACATCAAGCAGAATTAATTAAATTTCAAGGTGTATCAACATTACCCGACGAGTTCTTGTCGTACAAGCAACTTGCGCCATGTGTTTCGTAAGAATCTCTTCCTCGAGGGAAAAGCTTCTTATTTTCTTTGGAATCCTTTTTTTGGCTCCATCTTCTACCAATTTGTCAGAATTAGAACTCCTTTCACCAAACACGGGAACTGGTTGTGTTGCTTTCTTTGACGCCCATTTTTTCTCCTGGTATCTGGAAACCCCAACCAATTTACTTGGGACCAGAAAAATAAGAAAAAAGTTTTATTTGACATATCATATAACAGCACAATATGGTTCAGCTGACAAGTTACTTGGCACGGATAAATTTTTCAGTCCCGCTTCTGTCAAAACTTGGTGGCAGTTCTGCTTCCCAGTAACTGTTAGCCTTCTTATTACCCACAGCTACACATACAAAAAACAATTAGCATTTTTATTAATGCAGTAAATGCCTATCCAGAAAATAGAATGGATAGGTAATCAAAATCATTTAGGACAACTTAAGGGATGACGCTATTTTTTTTATCAATAATGGTCTCTATCTATTTCATCAGCAGCTGCTAAAACTGAACTGAGACTAATAGCTTGCTATCCATCAATTTGTTCAATTTAGAGATAAAAATTTAATAATAAGAATGCTATCTTCTTTGTGCGCAACATGTGAATCATGGTACAATAGGTCACCTGATTGTTCTGTAAACTGGATATTTGAATGGTTTATATATATTTCTAATGCATCCTATTTTTAGGGGGAAATGAATTGGAACAAATTCAACATTCATGCACATCATGAAAACATTTAACCTTCTGTGATCTACTATCAGGTATTTCATTTCTGTCTTTCTTTCTTCTTCTTCTTATTTTTTTATTTTTTATTTTTATTATTTTTATTATTTATGAGTAATGATTATGAGATACAACATATTCTTACATTGCATAAAAGCAACCTGCTCTGGTAGCCACGTATCCAAGTTTGTAGACCGTACCTATTGCACAAAATCAAAAGACCAAGCCACTGTTGGAAATAAGAAAGGACGAATACAAGAAAATACTATCAACTGATCAAAAGTGAAGTAGAGGAAGAAATATGTACCAAATATGTAGTAGCACTTTACCCAATCCCCACCTATGCGGGGACTTGGGCATTATTTTGCACTAGGTGGCTTGTCTCATACTTAAAACCACATCCACTTATGTGTGTAAATCAATAGTAGTGGAGTGTAAAAACAATTCCCACTATTTTTCTGCTTCTAAAAACAATTCCCACTATTTTTCTGCTTCTTCCAGTATATTATTTTTTACAGAATATGGCATGCAACAAAGTTAGCTGACCCAGAAAATTTATATGTGGGCATGTGAGAACCATTCTATATGAGAAGCATTTTAACAACAGATTTTTATGTTGAAAAAGAGAAGCATAGATTTGGCTAGAAAACTCTCAGCGTAAATTATCTGACTTCATTTTATTTTATTTTTCCTCCTGGTGAAGAAGGATGTAGCAAATATTTTATCTTCAGTACTAACCAATGCCCAATGGCATGTAAACATGAGATGATAATCCAAAAGGTCCAAAACTTACTAGCAAAAATATTCACAAGTAAACACACTATTTGAAGGAGGTAAAAGAAACTGAAGCTTCTTTCTTTTATCTATTACAAGGGCCCATCAAAGACAGGACTAAATCCTTTTTAAGCTGCAACAAGGAAATTGATTGTTCATTGAAATTTGATGTGCAAGCCTTTACAACAGTTAAAGCCAAAATCACGGTCTTTGTACTTGTCAAATGTAATAATACTAACTTGAAAGAGAGAGAGAGATCTACCAGTCTTGAAACCTTGACCTGGGGCCCGGGAGTTAAGACCCAAAGCCACCAGGATAAAGGTAGACCAGTGTAAATCGACTGTCTTCAGCAACATGGCAGTGTAAATCAATGATTTACAGAAGCACCATTCAAATGTTGCCACAATAAATCGATACAGGCTAGTTCACCATATAAATTTCTAGTTGCATTGGGTCTCTTAATATCGAATGTTAGTAAGCCAAATTTGGTTTTTGTTGTACATTCTAACAGTGCCCCTGCTTTTGTATCAGTAGGACATTGATGTTGAAGTTAACATTTGCTGAATGACACATGAATTTGAAGTTAAAACTGACTATGTAGGTCCTGTGGTTTCCAGCATTAATACGCGAGGCCAAAAAGTTCATTGATATTGTGGAAAAAATAGAGGAGAGAGAGAGAGAGAGATAGAGAGGGCAAAGTGTAAACCTTTGAGATATGCACACCTAAACTCCGATGTATTCCTGAACATTGCATGCATATAAATATTCCAAGGTTCACACTTGCCCATCGTGGAGCCCTGAAATAAATAAATATGTTGCAAAACTCAAAATATTGCATTAAAAAATTAATAAATAAAGTGCACAACTTGGAACCTTGGCTCAGATGGTATATTTAGTCCAATTAGAAAATGAAATTCAAAATCTTAACTTGAACTACCATGATAGAGTATAACTACCAATAAAACAAGAGAGTGATTCTAGACCAGAAAAGAGGTTCATAACCTGCCCTTTTGCAAGTAACATTTAGGGCTAATATATTGGGGTACATGTGTATAAGCATCACATCTGGTTGATCTAACTGAAAAAGAACAAATTCAATAGGGAAATGATCAGGTTCATTAGATTGCATAAAAACAAAGGTGGGAGGTTGTAAAGTCAAAAGTATTGTAAGATCCATGATCATGTAGGCATTTGCATAGAAGATGGACATAAATGGTTGTGGACCCCATTAGCTAGCCAAATCCAGCAAGGGGACCAATAAGCAAGAAGTGAAAACTTTAAATCCTACCACCAGTCTGTTTCGTGGGAGAAATTAAAAAATCACTCTATGGTTTATGCATGTTGAAAGTATTTATATTCCTGATTGCCATAACATGTGTTTTTTAAATTTTGAGCTCTCTGGGCTAATGCTTTAATAATAGCTTCTTTACATGTCAGGTTTAGCTCAGTCAGAAAACATGAGAGCAAGTTTTATTAATGTTGACGTAATTTACCTTCAATGATATGGAACTAAAGTAAATTAGGGTCCAAATATATAAGGATCCATGAAATATACTATTAAGTAACAATAGAAAGTCAGAGACAGCAAGCAGAAACTTATTCAGAGGACACTTGTGGAAAAAAAAAAGAACTTATTCAGAGGACCCTTTCCCCCTTTCTTTTGTGCTGTCTAAACAAATAATAACTGAAGTAAAAAAAATAAAAATATCAATACTTGAAGAGGTATCTATGACCTACTCCTAGGTAAACCTCCCTCCAGATGTTGCCTTCTTCTAACTTCCACTTAAAATACTGTTTGTATAAATTTTACATAATCAATACGATTCTAGCTCCTAGAAAACCAAGGTGACCATCTTCTCTAGCTGATTGCATATTTTTCTCCATTAATGGTCTATTTTTTATTATTATTATTATTATTATTATTATTTTATCATATCTTCCAATACAATCTACCACTTCCAATTGCAAGACAACCCTTAATCCCAGTTTCTGAAGAACAATTTAATTAATTGGGTGTAAGTCATATTATATTTCTCTAGGTTAGTTTGGCAAAAATGTTTGAAGAAAGAAAAAAAAATTCTTTATGAAATTTCAGGGAAATATTATTGCAAGCACATTTCACAGAAGTAATACCTCTGGATGGCAACAATCATATTTATGTTTCGGATGTGTGCATAATATACTGAGAGAATATTCTAATCATTTAGTGCATAGTGAGTGTTCCAGTGAACAAATGTATAGTAGTATTCTTTAGGCCATTCTTTAGAAACTTAATTGCGACCCTATAACTTTTTGTATAATATCAACAAATACTGAAGCCACATTTTCACAATGTTCTCATGAAAAACTGCTTATGACGTGATGAACTATAAATATTTGAACAAAATATCAGTACAAATTTGAAGACTGAAAAAAGATGCCCGTGAATTAGGTTCCAAAGTTTGCTGAAGGGCGCGTGGCACGATGACCAATAAAATAGTCTAGTCGAGGTATAAAAACTAGTATTTCATCGATCAAAAGTGATTTTATAATCTTGGACAAAATTAGAACATGACTTTTCTACAACAACTATGAACAATAAGTTACTAATAAAAAGGTATTACTTTACGTTTAAATTACTGCTACAACATTTTAACATGCTGTTTATGGTTTAAATTAAAATTTTATCTGAGTAACATAATGAAATTAATGTCGTCCAGTATCCAAAGGACAAGATATGCTCCAAAATTGGTGTTTAATAAATAATACAACTCTCCATAGTTTATCAAAAAGGTGTTGAATTTCAATTTTGGGCAAACATTTTGCTTTTGAATGCAGGATCGATTTATACATAGAATTAATGTTAGTAGTTGGGTCCAACAATCTTTTTGAAGAGTGAGTTTTATCTATCTTAGATTTCTTGGTTGAAATTTAAAAAAATTTAAGTAATATGTAAGATTCATTTAATTAGAATTTTAGACTTGAATGTAAAATAGCTATCTTTGTCTTAATAAGAAACAATAGTAGCTAATATAACTAAATCAACTAAATCGAGAATACTTTATCTACACAAGACCAACACAATTAGGAAAATCCTCCATTGCAGAGTTAAAAAGTGCCACTAAGAGCTGAGAACAATGACTGGCTAGATGATTAGCAGCACAATTTTCCATTCTCTTCACACAAGGCTAAATTTTCAACTCTAAAAATTCTGTCAATAAATAAGAGAGTATCCAATTATAACACCAAATTCGGAAAAGTAAGCTCGACAGATTGGAAACCTTAAAACAGTAAAGTTAACCTATTTCTAAAGCCACACATTCCAACCTAGTTAAATCTTAAAAACAAATAGCTCGACTAAATTTACTTGCTTTTACATTATCCACCAGACAAACACGAGGCACTTTTCACTTACTCAGCTGTATTTAATTCATACACATTGTTTTTAAGAATTATCACAAACCCTCCTTCTGTGAAGACAGAGGGTAGAAATTGATCCCAATCCTTTAATGAATAATTTTCATCCCAATCCTCTAATGCATAATTTTCTCAGATTCATTATGCCTCCTCAGCATCCTATTTTTTGCAGTTTCTAATATAAAGTATAAACAATTCTTATTCCCTAGCTGTGCACTACTCCTGTACCATATTCTCTCTAAACCTGCTTCATCTAATTCCAAACATATTCCTCCAATGACCCTAAATTCAGGCTTCAGAAGGTTCCAATGTGGTACCTGCAACGTGAACCATCAGATTGAAATCCTGACAGTTGAAATTGGGAAAAGAGCAATCTCACACTTAGAGAGTCAGAATTCACAATTAAATCCTAATGACACAAAATCCAGTATTTACATGCCATTTAGAATCTCATCCTACTTCAATAACTATGCTTTCACCATTAGATCCCTAACCTTAGAGCTGTGCCTTGCAATCAAACCCTTTCTTACTCCTTTCTCGAGAAACTACCACTTCCCCTTATAGTTCGGTTATGAGATGTTCAACATCACTTTTGTTTATCAAATTTAAGTAAGGATGTTCAACATGCCCAACTGCCACCTAGGACGCGTAACACATCCCTCATCATATTAATAGATGGACGGTCTATAGAATCATTTGAGAAGTATGATGAATATTCACGTTAGTAGTAGACCTCCATCAGACCAGCGTCTTAGTTGGCACATTCAGTTAAAAGCTAGGAATTAGAACTGACATTAAAATTTGAGTTCATGAATACTGATTGGAAATTTTATTTTATTTATTTTTTGATAAGAAAAATTTCATATAAAGGTGCTCAAGAGGGGAGTGCTCCCAAAGGAATACTGATTGGAAATAGAAACTAGCAAAACGAACTTTTAGTAAAAGTAGAAATTTCATGGGGAAACCAACAGAGTAAGTTTTAACTAAAAAATAGACTCTAATTATCAGATCAACTGCTAAAAAAGGAAGCACACATAACCATATTCTTGATAGCCAACAGAGAATAACTCAGTGCAGTTTAAGTGGATCTGAGAATTCTAAACTAGTGTTTGAAATGATTAAAACACTATATAGCTATTATTCAAGTTCTCCTGATATAGATAATAATGGTGACATCAAGATACAAATTGTAAACGAGTTATGAAAAACATACTTGCTCTGACAATCTGCACATTCCCTATTTTCTGGCAGCTTAAGAAGACCATCCAATATCTGCAAAAAAACAGCTTGCAAGATAGTGTTAGTACAAAAATCATAAAAATAAATAGATAGAGAGATTCTGCCATAATAGTAGAATAGTCGTGTTAAATTAATCCTTCATCAGTAATTAACCCAGGGTAAACATATAAACACCTATTCCACTCTAGAATTAAATAGCTTATATTTCACACATATTTTTCAATTTTTTTTATATAAGCATCAATCCATCCATCAATATACATATATACATTTGATGGGAAAAGACAATCAATTAAAAGAGGTAAATAAAAATAGAGTAGATTATAAAGGACGAGTAGTTCTTCCAAAGGTGAAAAATTACTGGGAAAAGATGATTTGAAAGTAGAGTTTTTATTCTAATATTTTTCTTATTATGAGAAATATCAGTTCGACACCTAAAATTACATTGAAATGACTTGTTATTTAGCATGCAATCCAACATTTGGATTGACAAAAAAAAAATTCTATAAAAACACCACATTAACCCTGTATAGAATTCAAACTGAATTTACTAGGGTAATGTGTATATAATGTTAATACGTACTTTAATATGTCAAGATTGGAGAATTAATACACCAAAATGCAAAAGTATAAAATAAATTCATTTCACTTTTTTTGTAAAATAAATTGAATGATTGTTTGAAAAAACCTAGATCTTATGCTTTGAAAACACACCTTTTAGTATTATTTGTCATAAGATCAATATATTAGTTATTTTTTTCGTGCAAGGCATCCTGAATAAATTGTGGATTGACCCAGTACCGCGCCATCAGTTCCAATTGAAAATAAAAAAATCTAGCTGAATGGAAATTAAAATTTTTGATTGCGCAATGCAATGCAATGCAAATAACATTAAAAACAACAATTGCTTGTTTGAACCTAAAAGTTACTAAAACACAGATGATAAAGTTATCACGAAAAATAAAATAAACTCGGAGCCAAGATTTATCTGATCTTATGCATTCTAATTGCATATGTGAAAGCATCGATAATAAGTTTATAAATTGGGATGTTCATGTGAATCTGTGCGTGCTTGAGGGAGAGAGACAGAGTAACAGTCAAAGAACAAGAAATATAATCCTAAACTATAGAGTAACAACTAAAGAACAAGAAATCGAATCCAACATATAAGAGTAACAATTCAAGAACAATAAATATAATCCTAATTGATAAGAGTAACCATTCAAGAACAAGAAATATAATCCTAATTGATAAGAGTAACCATTCAAGAACAAGAAATATAATCATAATCGAATCAATACTTCAAATTTCAGAAATTTTCATCACATATGATGTGACCTAATAAAACAGAGATGAAAAATATATATAGATTGAAAAGGACGGATGTTGAATTAATAACATCAGCCAAAACATCGCATTAATGAGGGAAAAACACACCAAGAGAGCATGTATTTATTATTAAATTTTGGAGTCACAGAATCAAATAAAAATCAGATTATATACATTTGTGTATATATATATATATATATATATATATATTGTGTATAACAGAACCTTGGTGTGCTTGGCGTTAAGCTCCTTAGACACGGAGGCCTTCCCGTTCATCTTTCCACCGATCACCGGAAAGCGATCAAAGGCAAACGAACCGGAGAGGAGAGAGAAAGACGGGGGACGTGTTCTATCTCTCTCTCTCTCTCTAAAACCGTGTGGGAATGATTTGCAATGGCTTGGCTTGGCAACTACTAGTACTGGCGGCGAAACAAAATAACAGGAAACGGTCAGGTATTCCCTAAAATACCGTTTGGGACTGGAATATTCTCTTCCACGGATTGACTTGTCTCCATTACCATTAATAATATAATAAGTAATCCGATAGCAGGATTGTATCTTGATCCCGTTGCTTCACTTCCAAGTTTTCCAAACTTTACTCCGCCCACATTCTTTTTGGGGAAGAGATAGTATTTGTTATTCCTCATATTGTCATGTCACAATTTTACTAAAATATAAACGATTTCTATAAATTATATGACGGAGTTTGATTAACAACCTTTAACTTTTTTTGGTGGCTGTATAAAGCTGGTTTAACTAAAGAAAGCAGTTTCTTATATTAGGGATGTCAAATTTTAACTTGCCCGACCAGTTTATGTTTTTTTCTTGGACGAGTCAAGAATTCGATCATACTAATTACTTCTTATTGTGTGTTTTTTTATGTTAGTTCTTTTCTATAATTATATCATAAAGTAATTTAAGAATTTTTTTCTTAATATATATAGTGGAATAGCTTGAATTCACTCTAATTTTAATGTGAGACAAAATCAGACAGATTTGAAATTGACCTTACTAAATCCCATTTACTAGTAGACTTAGTAATCAATTAAACAAGTTGGATTGGTGATAAAAACAACTTTTCATTTCATTTTAACTCAGTATAATAAAGTTAAATTAATATTAATTTGCAATTTTTGCAAGAAAATTAAAAACAAATTAAAACACAATGAATATTAACTCATGACATGCTCTCTTTTTATGTATTTGAATCCTGTTAGAGGTAATGTCCGTTTAGTTTGTTTAGTTAGTGTTTACTTGAAATTTAAAAAATAAAGATATTAAAAAAAAAAATTTGAAAAATAGAATTACTTACGGCCAATTGTGCCTCGATCCTGCCCCTCCAATACCTATATACAGTGGAGAAAAAGAACAAAAAAAAACAAAGAAGCTATATATAATATATCCACACAAATCACACAATTCAAGTAGCTATTTATATTTGAGGTAAAAATATTTTAAAATTTAAACATAACGGTCATGCCGAAACGAGAATGATGCACGCAGACAGATGCTCCTTCTAACCCTCCGTTCGCAACTCAGGACAAGACCACCACCGTTTACTGCTACTACTTTTGGCCGATTTCACATTGCATCAAAATCAAATTGCTATGTGGCAAAGTCATTGATCGCGGATGAAGAAGAGGCCTATACTCTTCTGTTGCGGCGGTGCGTTGAAACCCACGACTTGCACAAGGCCAAAGCAATCCATGCCAAATTCATCAAGGGAGCTCTTCTCTCTACCCTTTTCCTCCGCAATCATCTCCTCAACGTCCATGTCAAATGCGGTGATCTTAAAAGTGGTCTCCAACTGTTCGAAGAAATGCCTGAGAAGAACGTGGTGTCGTGGACAGCCGTCATTGCGGGCTTCGTTCAACATGGTTGTCCCGAGAAAGCGCTCTCTCTGTTCTGCTGCATGCGTCAGAATGGAATGAAGCCCAATGAGTTCACTTTTGTCAGCGCCCTCCACGCCTGCTCCTTCTTTGAGAGTCTCACTCATGCCTACCAAGTTTATGCCATGATTGTCCGGTTTGGATTTGGGTCCAATGTTTTTTTGGCGAATGCATTTTTGACGGCTTTAATAAGGCATAATGAATTGTCGGAGGCTTCAGAAGTTTTTGAGGAGTGTCAAAATAAGGATATTGTGTCTTGGAATGCCATGATGACTGGGTATGTGCAGTTCTCCTACTCGCAAGTTCCAGGCTTTTGGTTTAGGATGAACCGTGAAGGTGTGAAGCCAGATAACTTCACTTTTGCTAGTGTTCTTACCGGGTTGGCTGATCTTTCTGATCTTAAAACTGGATTGCAGGTTCACGCACAGCTTGTTAAGTCTGGTCATGGAAGTGAGATGTGTGTTGGGAATTCTTTGGTAGATTTGTATTTGAAAAATCAAAACTTGGTTGATGGTATCAAAGCTTTTGATGAAATCCCTTGTAGAGACGTTTGCTCCTGGACTCAGATGGCTGCAGGGTGCCTGAATTGCGGGGAAGCAAGCAAAGCGCTTGGGGTTATCAGAGAAATGAGGAAGTTGGATGTGATGCCGAACAAATTCACTCTCGCCACTGCCCTTAATGCCTGTGCTAATCTGGCTTCTTTAGAGGAAGGGAAGAAAGTTCATGGATTAAGAATTAAACTTGGGGATGATGTTGATGTCTGTGTGGATAATGCTCTGATTGACATGTATGCAAAATGTGGATGCATGGAGGGTGCATTGGGGGTTTTCCGATCAATGGATGATCGTTCCGTTGTTTCGTGGACATCAATGATAATGGGGTGCGCGCAAAACGGACATGCTAGGGAAGCTCTTAAAGTTTTTGATGAGATGAGGAAAGAGAGCGTGGAGCCTAATTATATCACTTTCATCTGTGTGCTTTATGCATGTAGTGCAGGAGGACTCATTGATGAAGGATGGAAGTATTTCTCTTCTATGACCCATGACCATGGGGTATCCCCTGGAGAAGATCACTATGCATGTATGGTTAATCTGCTTGGCCGTGCAGGGCGTATCAAAGAAGCTGAGGAGTTGATCCAGGGAATGCCATTTCAACCGGGTGTTCTGGTTTGGCAAACTTTGCTTGGTGCTTGCCGGTTACACGGGGATATAGAAACTGCAAAACGCGCAGCAGAGCATGCCTTTGATCTAGACAAAGAAGACCCTTCAACTTATGTTTTGTTATCTAACATGTTTGCTGGTTTGAGCAATTGGGAAGGAGTAGGGACGTTGAGAAAACTAATGGAAGCTAGGGATGTAAAGAAAATGCCTGGTTCTAGTTGGATTGAAACAAGCGGAGATCACTTAATGCCTACAGTAGTAGATGGAAGATTCATATAAATGGTCAACTGGCACACTTTTACCAAATGATCTAAATAGACTCTCTTTCATCTGAACTTTGCTCTGTTACGAACTTGGCATCAACATGTTTCAAATTTCCTGTATGTATTGGCAAACATTATTGTAATCTGAACCCATGCTTCCACCTCGCTTTCCTGTTGTATCAAACTGAATTTTATAGAAAAAACACATCACCATCACCAATGGTGCTTTGTTTTCAAAGGTTTAGAAAACAGTCCTTTCCAAAGGTTTAGAAATGTGATGCAGAAAAGTCTCCGTTCCGTAACACTAAGAGGAATTCACTTTGCTTGGCTTTGGTTGCAGAAGCTATGGCTTACTCTCGGTCATTGTAGTACTGGATGCATCTTGCAGGCTTGTTCTCCTTCACACCTTCTCTCCTATTGTAGAAGATGAACGTTCCGTCTGAAGTCGAATGGGGGTTTGAAATGTCTTCTGCAATGCATGTACATGACCAAAGGAGTCACATTACATCTCCTTTGTCCATCATCTCAAAGATTCAAACCTGTGTCCTTCGACATTATCTCTACAAGACCAATGCCTAACACGATTATCATCTACACATTACATGGATGTTTTTCCCACCCTCTCTTTTGTATTTTATTAATTGGCTCATTTGTTTGTGTGTAAAAATATTTTCTTTTTCACAATGTGATCTGGTGAGCTAGAAACTTTCTTCATGCCAAGCACAATGAGTTTGATTCAGGTGTGAAAAGGTAATTACAAGAAAAAACGCACTCGCATGATTCATTTATATTCGAGTGATTATGCTTAAAAAAAAAAAAAAACTATAAATTAAATTATTAAATATGCACTAAACTGCTTTATCAAATAAAATTAGAGGTGTAGATTTAGATACATAATAGGTGACGGAAATTAGGGAGGGTGGCAATTAGCAAGGTCCAAGTAAGGAGAGGCGGTATAAATTAATAAAATTCAACACGATTCAAATTGAATACAAAATTTGTAAAATTCAACACCATAATTCGAATTTAACACGGAATAAGTAAGTTTGAGTTTAACTTACAATATTCTTAACAATTATGTCACCAACTTGAAGAACATGGTAAAGGAAAAAAAACAAAAAACTTGAACATCTAACTTGTTTTAATTTATTTAATTAGATAGATGGCTTGACACATTAATTAATTAATTAATGGGCCATGTTGCGTTTAAGTAGATCATCAAAGAGTCTTGTCATGTTCTATTATCTAATAAATTATGTTGTTGTCAATAAGACTTATTTATTTTTATCTATTAATATTTTATTTATTTATTTTGACAAGAAATTTACACACTCATAGTAGGGATAACAAATTACAACACGACACAAGTTAAAAGGGTTTAGATTTGGCATAAACGGGTTTAGGTTTGGCATAAATGGGTTTAGGTCATAAAAAGTTCGATACGATTAACTTGTTTACTTAACCGTGTCGGATTAGGGTTGGAGAGTTCAACCCATGTAACCCGTTTATGATCCATTTATCTCAACATGTTATATCGTAAATATGACATATATAATATATTATCTATTTAAACCCAAATACTCAATATAAACCTTGTTAATGTCTTATGATTTTTCTTCATATTTTGAATTATTTAATAATTGATTAAATATTAAATATTTGGTTTTGATAAATAGGTCATTAAATGGGTTAACACGTTTACCTGTTTAATAAACGGGTTGAGTTAGTATTGAGGGTTCTTGACACGATTATTAAATGAATTGAGTTTGAGTTTACTTATTTAGTATAATACTCTTACATTAAGATTATGACCCAAAAATACGAATTGTCATCCCTAACTGGTAGACCGGGCGAAGCCAATGTGTGCCCAAGGGGCACATGCCTTTGGCCTGGCCCCGCCCTATGTATATATGGTTTTTATTTTAATTTTTTTACATATATAGAGGGAAATTTGTATGCCTCCAAAAATTATAAGTTTTCAAAATTTTTAAATTTTTTTTTTATTTTTTCTCTTTTACTTTTTAAATTTATTTAATTACCTTTTTTAAAAGGTTAAATTTTTCTTATTTAATCATCCTCTAATTTGTTTCTTTCAAAAAATTAAAATTTATTTTTCGATAATTAAAATTTATTTTTCTTTCTCTTTTTCTTTTTCTTTTTCTTATTTTTTTTTTAAAAAACAATTCTCGCTCTTGCTTGTAGAAACTTTAACCCATATTTTAGATGATAAGAGGCGTTAGTATTAAACAAAACTGGTTCTAGTTGGACTGTTGGACCTGTTTAACATAATATCCCCAGG